TCATTTATTAGTAACAGATTACATTTTGAAAGGGGTATAAGACGGATTAAAGAGCAAGCGAAGGAATTGAGACGCTTGTCTATTTAGTTATTTTACCAAACCCATATATCGATATACCCCATATCTAGCAACAGTTACAGGGTATTGCCAACTAACAACCACAAAACAACAATATACGTTATGATGACGTACTGAAAAACTTGTTTATGAATGTTGGTTGCTAGGGCAACGACCAGCAAAAACCGGCAACAAGAAGGGATTGGTAACTAGGCACCGTGCAACGGGCAACGGGCAACGGACAGTGGACATTGGACATTGGACAATGGGCTGAGGGGCTTTTCACTCTTTGCTTTGACGTGGCTGAAAGTTTAGCTGTAAGTGGCCAGCTAACTTGTTAGTTAATTGCTGGGCCTTTTACGATAGATACATATATACCTTTTGCAGCTTTTGGCGCCTTTTGCAGCAGACGATTTGGCTGTAAAACCGCCAAATCCCAAGCGCTCTTGATTTTCCTTGGTTCATGAGAGCAGCTGAAGAGTTTTCTGTGGCTTTTAGGGTTTTCAAAGCGAACGTTTGGCATAACTTATTGCTATCCAACGAGAAGGGGTCTATTGCGGCGAAAGGAAAAGGCAGGAAGGAGGAGAAGCAACAAAAATGGCAGATAGCAAAGGAAGCGACTGCATAGAATTCATCTTTACCACTTAACGTTTCCTGGGAAAGTAGAGATTTTAGTTCTAATTAGGCTTAATGCTTAAACAGTTTAATGATTTTCTGGGCTATATAAACTTTATGTTTTTTTGGATGAGCAACTTAGGCGTTCTTTTTCGCGATTTCTTTGTTAAATATTTCATTTAGTTCCTATATTACTCAAAGTTCTCTCTGAAAACTGAGCGTCATTATTCTACAATAATTTTAGAAAAATTACGAACTGCTCTAAGGTCATATAGCTACTCAATTATTAAAGTCAGAATATTAGCTCTATGGACTTAACAGAGTTTTGTCTGTTAACCCAAAATGTTAGCCTGCAGCATGTTAGGCGCACTATCAAGCTCGCATTTATTGACCAACTTTTTACTTTCACGCATTACAAATCGTGGGAAATCTAATATAGAAACCCGGCTAGACATTCGCCATACATAAACCCATTTTGGGCTTGCCTAACTCAGATTTCACAGCACATTTTCCGCCATTTTGTGAGTTTACCTTCTCGCTATAACCTTTTAACCCTAAGCCCAAAGTAAGCTTAAGGGTTTGCCACGTACATATAGACCCATATATACATATACATATATATTTACTTATGTAGATCTGTGTGGCTCTTTTCGTTTTCATTCTCATTCTCATTTCCATTGTTCATGGCGCTTATCGCGCGTAATTCACGTATTTCAATGCAATTTCTCTATTTACTTAGCACTTTCGTTGTCCCATGTCACACGCAGGACAAATCCAACCGGCTTTTTAATCCTTATCACATTTGGTTTGGGGTACGACATTTCCCGACACTTCCCTCCCTCTCCCTTTGGGTGTGCAATATTTGTGTTTATTTTCAGGATTTATGCGTATTTATTTAGGCACACTCAGAATCTCAGATATTGCAGGAGATTTATACCGTTTCTTTGTTATTATTGCTATTTTAATAGCTGTTATATGGAGATTTATTTTGGATTAGTGCGTGGAAATAAGTTTCTGTGCATGTGTCGTCAAATAGAACTGGTGAACTTGTTCAGTGCTCAGTAAATGTTACCAGTTCAGTCAGCTTTGTGATCAATTGAACTTGAATTAGAACTAGAACTTGTTAAATTATGAAATATAGTTCATCAACTGCTCATATGGCAGAGCACTTGAACTAGAATCGTATATGCATTCCCAAGTACAGTCTGAACATAAATTCAATCAGACGAATTTTTTTTGTATCAAAAAAATAAAAAAGTAATCTGCACTAAAAAACTCAATTGAGTTGGTTCTTTTGTGAGTGCTGAACTGCAAAATTCTTGAGTTGCGCGGGTATGTGTATGTGTTTGTGTGTGTGTATGTATTATAAATCCAATAAATGGCATGCCGGGTAGCTATAATGTGCTCTACTCGAAGAAATCACTTTTCAAAAGTGAACAACACAGAGTGAAGTGCAGATAGAGAGAGAGGGAGAGAGAGAAAGAGGGAAGTTGTACAAGGCTTACAGGGTATAGAGAGTGTACGTGTGAGAGAGAGAGAGACTGGGTAGGCTTGATGCGCTGTGGGGGTGGCTCAAGTCTCGCTTGCGTCCGGAGGGTGTCTCGTTTTTGTGGGCTTGCGGTTGCTGTCGCTGAGAGATTGTTGAAGGTTGATGCGTTAGCCACCAAAGTGGGTGCATTCACATGTCTCAAGAGCTTGTTATATGCTCGATATATACACATAAATATATATATATATATATATGTATACCACCTACAACAAGAAGAAGAGGAAGATGGAAGATGACTTCTCATAATGTAGATGTGTTGATGAGTTTCGGGTGACAAAACAGGAAGAGGCGACAAATTTGCACAGCGATGCAATTTTTAATAAGAATAACAGAGCATACACAGGGACAGAGAAAGAGAGAGAGAGAGAGACAGAGTTGTGAAAGAGATGACAGATATGTTGCAATGCGTGGCACAAACAGAAGATGTTGCCGAGCTGTGACAAATGATTGAAAAGTGTCTAGAAGTTAAATTTGTAACCTCAAGTAACTCGAGTTAGGAAAAATCTTGAGAGATGAAAATTTGTATGGATATAGTAGAGGATAGGATAAAGGTATATGTTACAATATATATTCTCTAAGTAATCCATAGCCAAGAATATATCATTAAAAATGATCCAGCTCAGGTTCTAAGAGTTAATTATACTTTTATAAAGATCGTTTAATCAGAGTATATGAACAAATATTTGTGCATTTATTGTTCAACTCTTAGTCAACTCATGAAACTAGATATCTAGAAAGGTTTTAAAGTAGACATTCGTTTCTATTCAGCCTTTGCTTAAGTCATGGGCTCTATGATTCCTTGGCTTACATGATTTTCAAATGTAAAAGAGCTCTATAATTTTATTCTTTCATAAATCTAGGCATTTACATACAAGCATATCATAGTTAAGAGACTGTACTGCATTTCATGCAGCCATAAGATATATGATCTATATAGCAAACGTTGAGCAAAAACCAAATCAACGCACGAAATCTCTCGTCTAGAAAAAAGTGAAAATTGCATTAGAAGCAAACAACGTGTGCGCACTTTTTAATTGGATTTCAGACTAGGCTAGAGCTAGAGCCAGGGAGAGAAAGAGAGAGAGAGAGAGAGAGAGAGAGAGAGAGAGCCGTAGAGTGACAGAAGGAGAGAGGGAAGACGCGACATGACTCCAGTTGGAAATGAAACTTGGGAGAGGTTGTGCTGTGCCTGGGCTCTGCTTCGGCTCTGACACTGTGCAACGTGCTGAAATAATGTGGAGCGTCATTAAAAGCTCAGCTGGCGGCGCAGTCGACGTCGTTGTTGACGTTGCAGTTGACGCTTTGATTATGATGAGTCACATGAGATTGCTGTTGTTGTTCTTGTTGTTGTTGTCGTTGCTATGTTGCATTAACATTCATAATTTCCACATGGCAACGTTGCTTAGAACCAAATGGAAAGCGCACTTGGAGTTCGCTTCAATCCACCTTGATGTCGTCACTAAACCACCTGGACGTTCTCCTTAACCCAGCTTTGCTTCAACTCCATGTTGACATTTGAAGAGTCGATTGTGTTTTGTCGCTTTGCTTTCTGCTCTCTGCTTTCTGCGCTTTTCCAAAACTTCAAACCAACAACAACAACAACCAGGAAATTGAAAGGGAAAAGCAAATATGGCCACAGGCTGCTGTTAAAAGGGATGGGGAGGCAGGGCACGGCCCGGTAGACACCTCTACCGCCTGGCCACGTTTTTCCATCAATTTGATGTTTTTTTTTGGCTGAATTGCCCTCGCCTCATGCTGTCGCTGCTTTTGATTGGTGCGAATAGATTTTTGCATGCCATTTAATTTTCATCAGACCTAAAACAGCGGTGGTTGTTACAGACCAAAATGGCGCCGTCTAAACGTAGTTTACCATAGCCAAAATCGTTATATATATGTACATATATACATGTACATGTGCTGCAACCCTTCGATTTCCCAACAACTTGTCACAAATTTTCCAAGTCAGCGCGCAGCGAAATGAATAAAAAAAAACTAAACGTTTGGCGATAAACAAAAATGTTATGCTAGGCATCGCTACGGCGGTTAGGGATAGCAGCTAGGCCCAGTGGTAGGGGTAGTTTGTGCTACCCTCAAAAATATACATAACTCAAAAACTCAACAGCTCGAAAATATATTTTGACGGAGGCTCGCTAAAAGTTGTTGATGGTCCGCCAGGTGAAAATAACTGCTTCAATAAATTGTTGATGGTTAGCTTGATGCTCTATAGTGGGGCATAATCAATGAGAGAAGAAATGTGCAACGAAACGATATGTTTTAGAATAAAGATGGGATGCCTGAATGCTTCATGCTTACTTTACAGTAAGGGATTAAAATGTTTTGAAAAATATAAAAACTTGACTTAACTTTAGCTTTATTAAATTAGCTTACAATAAAATTATTAGAATATTATTCTGAGAATATAAATATATTTTTCTCACTAAAAAAACCTTTGATGATATACCATACATTATAAAATTTAGGACAACAATTAGACTATTAGCTTTATTAAAGTTATTCTTAAATAATCTCCTCCTGTCAAATAAATATCTATGAATCTATAAGCCTTAAGCAGTTGCAAGAGCTAGAATCATATATCAGTTTACACTAGTAGAGGCTTTTAGTAAACTAGAGACTTTAGTAAACTAAACTATGCCAGGGCTAACAGCATCGCCTTTTTGACATGAAGAAGTTGGACAAAAACAAACCAAAGGAAATGCAAACATGTATATTTCATATAATTTGTTCATCCATTCAATTTATTAACTAGTTTCTAGGCATTGTCTTGGCTACAATGTTGCCCTATTCACATCCCACCTGTATTTTGGACTGCATTTGTTTGGTTAGGGTATTCGAACTGTTGTCTTTTCTTATCTCGTTCTTTCTTGCCTCGGTTTATAACCTTTTACCTTTGCTGCGCTCCAGCCTGAATGCATTTCCTCTGAGTCGGCATATTTCTGTTCCGTTTCTGTTGAGACCTTCTACAAAAGAGGCCTTGTTACATTTCGCATCCTTTCTCATATTATTTTGTTTCTAGGGAGCAGGTATTACCTGCTGCTGCTGCTGCTCTTACCTGTGCCACAAAAGGCTGCCTCGACTGCTGCTGCTGCTTCTGCTGCGGCAGCTTCATCTTATTTATTTCGTCTTCTGCTCTTTTCTCACCTTGCACTTTGCACAATTTTCCTGCCTGTGCCTTTAACTGACAATTTATCTCTGGCTGTTTGCCCAAGGGACTTCGCTTGTTGTTGTTGTTGTTGCTGCTGCTGCTACAGACAGGTTCCTTAGCCTGGCCTAAACAAATGCTGTCGTCTGTCTGATTTTTCATTACCAACGCTCGTGAGCCGGCATATGTTTGTGTTTTCCTTTCATTAGTTAGGCTGCCTGCCTGCCTGCCTGTCGGCAATAGCAGCTAAACACATACACATACACACACACACACACACCTGACACACACACACTCTTTTGGAGAGTTTTTCCCGCTTATCATTGCTGCTTCTCCTGCCCCTTGAAGCAAAGTGTTTTTAATTCTCTCATTAGTAACTGAAATTACAACGCAGCATTTAGACTCTGACTCTGACTCCGACTGTGAGTGTGTCTCTGACTTCAGCCTCAGCTCCAACTCCAACTCCAGTTCAAGTTCCGACTCTGTCTACCCCGCCCTCTTTAATTTTGCCTCTATAGAGCGAGCTGCGAGTGTATGCGTTGCATCATTTCCGGCTAGGCCCTGCATTAGCTCCATTTGTATCATTATCTCTCTCTGTTCTTCTCTGTTACTCTCTCTCTCTCTCTCTCTGCCTGACATCTCCCCTCTATATCATTTTCAGCTGAATGCGGGCTTTCAGCATTTGCTTCTTAATTGAGCGCGGTGTCAGGCTCCATTTCCAGTTGGCATCATTCTCAATTTGTCATATTTAAAACGTGTTCTTGCTCGCTCTTCTTCTTTCTACTTTTATATATCAATCGGTTGAGTTTAGTCGGTTATGCAGGAAAATTAAAGTTTAACACTTGATATGAGCTTGAAGGAAATGTGAATTTAAATGTTAAGAATATGGAGTATATTATATATAGGGCATATATGCAGAACATTTATGAAAGACATAATAATAAGATATTATGATATGGTGTACTCAATCTGCCTGCGACTTGGAAAAGTTAAGGTCTCTTTGATAAAATCACTTATAAATTTTCCCTTCCTATTACTAATATTATTTTATATCATATCGTATAATTATATAAACCAAGAGGGATAACAACAAATTGCCCAAGGTCTTCAGTCTGGCTGTCTAGTTTATTCGAATGATATATGAGCCATGTGTACAATTATAGTAGTCCCTAGATTATGTGTAAGGGTAATTTGATATTTCTGACTTAAAGAGCGCCTTGTTATCAAAATGATATATGAACTGCAAATCGTAATTAGGGAACTTGCAGCACGCCGAAGGGTACATTATTTTGACTGCATTGTTTATCCTGCACATTTGATATATGATGCGTAACTCTATGCCGTATTAAGCCCAATTAACGTCACTTCATAGCAAGCAAAGGAAAATAATGGAAAAACAAATTCATACTCATACTCACACTCGCACTCATGTGCGTGGATTATTCATGTGGCTATTGTGAATGGGTTTTCTTCTCAGTTCTTCTCGCTTCGCTTAATAAATTTAACCTAAAATGTCAACATTTGTGCATAATTCTTGACATTAATTACGAACATGAACTCAAAGACAAAGAAGTATTTTCCTCTCCTTCTCTCTCCCTCTCTTTCTACAATAGAAAGTTGAGACTCGCCTCTTGTATTGCATATTTAAAAGCTAATTAAATTTTTGTTTTGGTATTTTCCCTAGTTTTTTTTTTTTTGGGTTTTTGTTTTCAGCCACGCCCTAGTTAAATTTTGTAGCACAATTGTTTAAAGACTCTTCAGTTTAGCTTAATGACTTTGTGGAAAGATTTGCTCTTAGCAGATCGCTTAGCTTCGCGAGCAACGGTAAACATACATATATCGTCATGTTCGACCTGACCTGCATCTCATTTCATGCAACAGAACACATGTTCACAAATTTCACACTCAACTTGACTCGAGGCTATTTGTCAACTGGGCGGGAGGTGGGGGCCATGGGTATACGGGTATACGGAATTGGGAATTTCGGATTGGGTTGAGTTCGTTATGGCCACTGCGTTTAGCTCAACCTGTGAGTGGGACACGCTCTGTCACGCTCTTGCACTTGGTATTCTCCCAATGACACGTTCAGGCAAAACAAAGGCTACAATGAAATATGACATATACCCTGTAAATGTTCTAAATGCGTCATGATAACTGAGGAGAGTGGAAGACTTGTGAGGAAGGGAATCGAAAGAGAATTTGTAAAGTTGGCGACACTTTATGGCAACAATAATTTTATTTAAATTATACCCTGTAAATATTGATAGCAGGAGAGACTTGAAATGTGACAATGTTTTAATATATTTAAAAAAAAGTACTTCAAATATACCCTGTAAATGGTATAGACTACAGATATACATTTTCAGCCTATTTCAGCATTTTCTACAGGGTATTCACCCACCTAGCAACGCCTCCTACTGAGTCAACTGTGTATACAAACCTGATTCGTTTCGGGCTAATTAAATAGAAGCCTAGTGACAGTTGATATATATTTTCTTCTTGGTTCGATATCAAAATGAATTTCTGTTGCTGCCGCTGCCCGCATCTGTAACTGTAATTGTAACTGTAACTGCAGCAGCATCTGCATCTAAAGTATTTCAATTGAAATTTCAGCTTAGCTATGCAATTCAATTGTCGTCAGGCATTGCCCTTTACTCGCTTTAGCAGCATGTCTCTCTCTCGCTCTCTCTCTCTGTCTCTGTCTCTCTCTCTCTTCCTCTTGTTGCCTGTCAATTCAATTTTAATCAAATGCGTTACTTCGATTCCCCAGCGCAATTAATTTGAAATGTTTCAGTCGAATGAGCAGACGCCTATAAGCACATACATATATGTATATGTATGTATGTATCATTCACATTTATAACTTATATGCCTCACCCCCTTGACCCCTTTTGGCCCGCATATTCAGGCATTTTGCATAGGGTTGTCCATAAGGCATATTTCCGTGGCATTCCGTCCCGCTGCTCGTCGCTCGCTGTCGGCTTGTTGGCCCGGTCAACGCTCCGTGTGCTCAGCTTTTGATAGTTGTGCTAGCTGCCAATTGTTAAAGCCAAATGGTTGTAAGAGCCGCAAATGTTTGCAGGCTAGAGATGAGCGCGTGCATTGCATTTGAATTGGCAGCGATGCACGAATGCAGATGATGAAGTAGTGATGGCATATACTATGTAATGATAATCATAATGATCCTTATGAATTCACTATAATGCCATTGGCAATCGTCTATGACGATGACAGGGATAATTATCATCAAGACAAAGATAAAGACAATGACAATGATAATAGATCAAGAAAACAATGAAATGAACTTTATATAAATATAGATATCTCAAATCTCATCGTCTCTCTCTCTCTCCCTCTTTTCCAACCTCCTTTAAATCTACAACAAAATTTATTCAATCAACTGGAAAACAAAAAGTTTTTATTTTTAAATACAATTTGAAATTACTTCATATGGTTAAAGTTATCTAACAATAACATTGGAACATATGCATGTTCGTGCTCATATCTCTCATTAACTTTAACCTCACTTAAGCACACGCACTCCCCCGACCTCAGGTGGGCGCGCAGGTAGCTGCACAGGTAATCGACAGAGCGCATTGCACTCGTTTTCAACTTCCGGTTATGAACTGAATGAATGCGAGCACCTTTTGCATTCGCATTCCCATTCACGTTTATGCTTCAGTTAATGCAGAAAACTCGCACCCCTCCCTCTCTCTCTCTCTAGCGCTCACCCACTCTCTCGGCCCCTTTTGTACTCCCCCCTTGCTGCATGCGCGCATTTCAAACACAAAAGTTAGTTTTGCAAAAATGTTGACTGTGTCTCTAAATGGTTTGCTGCTTGTTAGAGGTCATTAACGCGACTATTGTTGTAGATATATGTATAGCTACATAATGTACATAGGCGCTCGACGTGGCATTTCCAAAAAAAGGTCACCCGCTATCTGCGAGTCAGCGGATGCGACGCGGCGCCTCATTAAAATCAGATTTGAGTGCACAAACACAAAAGCCGCAGCGAGCAGCATTTAACTCCAATTTCGATAGCTCGCCACACTTGAACACCCGCTATGAACGACTTTCCCTCTTTATACCGCTGATCTCTCCCTCGGTTCTAACTCCAACTTAGATCAGTTAGTGTGATTCCTCTTGTTTCTCTCCCTTTATATATATCTCTATACCTTTCCATCTCTGTCTCTTGCTCAGCTTTTATTAACCATCTCCTTTCTCTCTTTCTCATTACAGATAGTGCCACCTATGTCGGCAACATATTGCGCATCAAGTCCGTGAAGAAGGAGGATCGTGGCACCTACTACTGCGTGGCAGACAACGGCGTCAGCAAAGGTGATCGTCGCAACATCAACGTGGAGGTGGAGTTCGCACCAGTTATAACTGTGCCCCGGCCACGTCTCGGCCAGGCGCTGCAATACGACATGGATCTGGAGTGCCACATCGAGGCGTATCCCCCGCCAGCCATTGTCTGGACCAAGGATGACATCCAGTTGGCCAACAATCAGCACTACACAATCTCGCACTTCGCCACCGCCGATGAGTACACCGACTCGACGCTGCGCGTCATTACGATTGAGAAGCGGCAGTACGGCGATTATGTGTGCAAGGCGACAAATCGCTTTGGCGATGCCGAGGCGCGTGTCAATCTGTTCGAGACAATCATACCCGTCTGCCCGCCAGCCTGTGGCCAGGCGTATTACGGAGGAGCTGAACATATTGCTGCATCTGCCTCCTCCTTGGCATTGCTGGGCATTGTGCTGGCCGTGCTCTACTCCAGATAAGCCAATCTAAAACCAACAACGATGCTTCACATAATCATATCTAATCCATCTCGAATATACGAATATATATATATATCGAAAATATATATAGCTAAACATAGACATCAGCTGTAGAAGTTTCATTGTCGCAAAATCCTCGTTTTGAAATTCGGTTTATCTGTATGTTTTCTCCAGTCTATATAAAACGTCCAATCTTATCTTAAGTTAAGTTTAAGTTCTTAAAAGAGCTCACTCATTTTAAACTAATTTAGTAAAACAAAAACAAAATCCAACTCGAATCCCAAAAAGCAAAACCCGTCCGTTTTTTCTGTCTCTGTATATTTTTAAATAACTTTAGATTATAATAATAAGATATATATATACCAGACATTCCCGTTCTATACATCACATATGACATTGTTTAATTTTTCACAATTCGTTTACAAAAAGAGAAAATATTTTATTTTTTATTAAATAAATAATAAAGTATTTTCGTGCTGCTCTTTATATATGTATGTGTGTAATTAGTTTGATATACATCTAACTGAACAATTCGAGAGGCAAAGATACAAATTGCGAATAACAAGACGAAAAAAAATTAATACTTTTCTAACCCAAATCTGGGTGTAAATAAACAATTTTTGTATTACAAACTAAGAGAAAAGAAAACATAAAATAAAGCAAAAAAATGTGTAAAATGAAAATGTGAATTTGAATTTATATAAACTTGTAAACCTAAGACAGCACACTGGGTTCATTTAAATACGATTATTAGAAAAGTTTCTTAGACTTAAGACTTAATCGAACCGCCCGCTGTCGCCATGCGATAATATAGATTGAATTCCGATTCGTAGACTGAAAAGTTGGCATTCTTATAGCATCTGTTGGGCGGCACATACAGACGCATGGGATTCTCTACTATGAAGCGATAGATTCGCTTGATCCTGTGCAGCTGATGCTGTGTCTTAGTGCCCAGTGATTCGATATTATCCAGCAGCTGTACGATTTCCTCGTGCTGGCGACGGGCGCTCAGCTTCAAACCGTGTGGATCGACTGCAAAGCGAGAGTGGAAATGGAAATGAAGTTGGAAAAACAAGGAGAAGAGAAAGGGCTCTTCGAGCTTACCAATTATTGTCTCCAAATTCAATTTCAAATCGGATGTGTGCTCAGCAATTGCTGACGCCCACAAAATGCGTTTACGTACTTCCTGCAGAGCCCCAACGGGGGTTAGCAAATGACCAGGAGCCAATTGCATGGTGGAGGCCAATTCCTGTGATTCCACGATGAGCGGATTGGCCGAAAGCAAAAAGGTGCTGCGAAAAGGGAAATTCAATTATCAAAACAGACAGCTATATGTATAATGCCTATGTATGTACGTGTATGTGTACAGATACGTGTAAGAGGTTTCACTGCGTACAGAATATATACAGATAAGCCTTACCAATTGCGAGGCACACAGCTGAGTTTCTCTAGTGGCATCTCAGCAAAGGTATTCAGCTCCAGCAGATGAGAGGGCAATGTGGCAGGCGATGATGTGCTTGGCGGCGGCAACATAGGAGTCGAGGTACAATTGGCTGCCACAATTGTGTTATCAAAGCTGCGACGCAGCGTTGTCTCCATTGGACTCGCATCGAACTCTAGTTTTGTGCTGGAGAACACGCTGTCGTTGGCCAGACTGAAGCTCTCCATGCCCAGGTACGACATGTTGCCCACTTTTAGCTTGCTGTTGAACAGCTGAGATTTGGCATTCTGTTGGTGCGTCGTTGCCTGCATGTCATCCAGCATATTCTTCAAGATATTCTTGGAGTACAGAATTTTCTCTTTAATCTGCGATAGCTGCAACATGTCGTGCCTTATTCCATTGATTGAGGTATTGATTTCGGCGTAGATTTGCTTGATGGAGCAAAGGAGCAACTCGTGGCTTTCCAATTGACGCACGCCCGCTTCCAGCTCCAGGCGAAGCTTTTCAATCTGTTCGCTGAGATATTCGTTACGTGCATGATTGAAGTTTCGCAAATTGTATTGGAGTATAAATTCAGAGATGATCTCTTCACTGCTTTCTTCCTCCTCCTCGGTGCTGATTGCATTGAAATTATTCACTTTCCTCTGCAGCTCGTTCAGGAATGTGCTATATGCAGCGGCGAAGCGCTCCTCCAGCTGTGCAACTTCATTTTGTGCTGACAAATGCTTGGCTACTAGACCCAATAGCTCCGCCTTTGTCTTCAGCAATTTAATGTCAAAGCTATTTAGCATTGGCTTGGACAGAGAGCTTATGGTCTCAATGTGCTGGCTGCTCTTGTTCAGCTGCATCACTTGCTGCAGCTGCTCCTCCTTGATGCGCATGATAGCATTGAAGAGCAGAACATTTGGTATATTTGCAAAGATTTGTCGCATCTGCGACCAGAGTTGATTCTTCGCCTCTGCCAGTTGTTGGCTACTGTGGCCATCTGCATTGCAGATTTTATAGAATTGTTCCAACTCCTTGAGCGCCTGCTCCACGGCCTTTGTGGCCAACTTTTCACTGGCGTTCTTTTGATTTAGTTTTACCGGCATTGTGGATAGGATTTGTGCCTTGTTCGAGAGCTCTTGTTCGTAGGTTTTGTTAAGAGATTCCAACTTAAGTTGGAGTAAATGATATCTGGATTGGTGCAGCTGCATTTTGTGTGTTGCGCTAATCGTTTGAATATCTAAAAGCAGCAGGAGAGATAGACGGAGTCTTATAAAACAGATTCATGTTGAGCGTCGCCTGCAGCTGCACTTACTCTTTGTTTTGATAGAGGCTGCCAAGCTATCGTACTCTTTCTTAGCCTCGGCGAGACACAGCTTCTCCTTTTCCTTCTCCTTGAGCAAGTCCTGCATTTTCAGATGAATTTGTAGCTGGCGTGGTAGAAAACTGCGTCTACAGGCTGGCACCACTTTTCCCTTATGCTGCGCCACCTGCGCAATCAGCAAATTCTCGCGCACCTCTCGCACATTCTGGCGCGGTTGAATGCGCGACTGCATGTTCACAAATAGTTGATTTTGACGCGATTTAGATATGCTACCATGAAAAAATAAAATGGCAGTTCGACTTGAATTAGAACAGCGAATTTGTTAGACTTACGATTTGAGCGCGTCCTCATTGGGCAGTGCGGCGGGCGGGCAGCCTAGGCTGGTTGCCCACTCGCGAAATCCTTTTATTTGCTCATCAAAATCCATATTTCAATTTAACTAAAAATGTTTTTAAACGCTGCGGCCGCGCACATTCACAGCCATGTACTCAAACTAAGGCACATCACAAGCAGGGTTGCTAAGCGATTATATATTTGGAAAATATAAAATGCAATATGTACACACTTAAAACGGAAATGTCTGTTTGAAAAAGTAACCATACACGTCTTGTTAACTTTTGAGCTTAAAATGGTGAAATTATTTTAGGAAATTAATAATTTATTTACTAAGCACACAAACACTAGGAAATTATTTAAACAAAACTTGAACTAAAAATACCAATCATTTCCGTAAAGTAAAAAAAATCTTTATTACTAATTGTGTTAATCATAAATATTATTAATTATTTTGAATTATGCATTGAGTGACAAATGTCTTGGCCATTACACACTGTGGGCTTTGTGTCCAGCGATGCGAGGGACAATTTTTAAAATATTCCATATAGGTGCAGCCAAGCACAATGGCTGAAAATGGACTGCATTTTGGTTGCTTTGGATTAAATTGTTGAATGGCTGCCAATCTACGCTGAGCTTCTGGCTCACATTTGGTAAACGCAGCAGTCATAGCCTCCACATAAAGCGTATCATTTGGGAATTTGGCAGTTAGATCGTTGCGTATGTGCTCCAAGTTGAGAGATTTCGGCTCTCGTTTGTATTGGGATGTTGTGAGAATGCAATCAGCCAGGCACTAAGAGATAAGCGATAGTTAATTAGTACATTATCGAAGTTGAGGAAATGGTTTTATCTGATGGCCTTGAGCTTGAACTAATTTTGTTCATTCCCACTTACCGTTGCCGTATCCAAGGTAGGCGGTCCATTATTTTGTTGACCATTTGCTGTACCTACAACTTTCTCTGTACATTTTTCAGCAATTTGATCGCGTCCTCCATCCCGGCAGCAAAGAGCAGGATCCTTAAATTTCAATTAGGTTACCAAATTACCAAAAAATTCCAAAATTCTTGAGCAGATTACATACCAATAATGGCGGCGGTTTTTGACAGTCAATTGTTTGGCCATATGCAATCGATCCATATCCCAGCAAAACGAAAACCACAATATTTTTAGAACTCCACATAGCTGCAGCTATATCTGTTTTGAATGATGCTTCAAATTAAACTGTAAAAATAGTTTAAACAAGTGACGTTTTTATATGAATGGAGAGACTGTTTAGATGCTATTAGAACCAGCCACGCAGAACAAATAACTTTGGGCAGAGGTTCATTGTTGCAATTGTTTGCTATTTGGTGCCAATGTCAAATCTAATACCATATTTTGGAACGTTGACATCGTGGACATGAAAACTTGTTAAGGTTTCGTCAAATGAATTTTCAATATACACACATACATATCTCGCTCGATAAATTAAAAAGTAATTTTAGAGGAAGTACAATTAGCGCATTTAGCTATTCAGATTTCAAGGTGACAACTTTTATAATAAAAAAAGGAAAAACCACACATGTTTGTGATTATTGATAATTGTTGGTAATCCCAAAATTGAAATGCTTAACGGTCATTGGGGTCAACGTTTTTAAGTCTGTCGAAGCTTTTAATAATTACCAGAAGAGTAGTTGAACTAATGATATTAGTTGTAGTGTTCTAATTAATTGTAAGTCGCAAGGCACTGGTTAAAATATTAAAAAACGGCGTGCCTTCAATTTAAAATGTATTAGTATTGGTATGACAGCTTCCTTTCGCTTGTCCACTAACATTACTCTACACTCTGTTAACGATTAACATAGGTCTATCAGCTGTTGGTTGGTTGGCTATCGAAACCGGATATATCGATAACAAACGCCACAAGTCGAAAGAAGCAGATGGATGTGAATAATAAAATGTATTTGGACAAACAAAAACAACTAATATATATGGAAAATAATTATTTAATTTAATTTATTATTTAAATAACAGATTAGTTGTGGGCGATGTGCGCGGTCGTTTCAAGCAGCTGTTCAGCCGAGTGGAGCAGGTAAACAAAAAAGCGGGACCATTTGAGATTTTGTGCTGCGTCGGTGATTTTTTTGGCGCCGAAAAACAAAACGAGGAGCTGATTGCCTACAAGAATGGCTTTAAACACAGTAAGTGGAGTTGATTAAAATTATAAATATAATTTGTAATTGCTATAACTTTATGTATATTTCAGTTACCGTGCCCACCTATATACTGGGACCCAATAAGGAGGAGGATAAAAAATACTACGAAGATTTGTCGGATGGTGAAATCTGCACGAATCTAACATACTTAGGCAAACGAGGAGTTTATACGCTGAGTAGCGGTGTTAAAATTGCCTATTTAAGTGGCGTTGAAGCGGCAGCGAGCAGTGGAACGAAATGCAGTGAGCATGAATTTACCAAAGCTGATGTACAAGCTGTGCGCAATTCCTGTTTGATTGCAAAGAACTGTGGCACGGATTACAGGGGCGTCGATGTACTCTTAACTTCCCAATGGCCCTACGGCATGCAGGAGGAACAGAATGTAACTAATTGCATATATGATACATTCTAGTTCATAAACAAATTATTACTTATTTATACACCCCATAGTCAAAGGCGTCCAAGCTGATATCGTTTCTGTGCCGTGAAATTAAACCTCGCTATCATTTCTGTGCCATCAATGGTGTCTACTACGAGTGCCCGCCTTTCCGAATGCCCAAGGATGAGACCACGCAATTCGAGCTGTGTACGAGATTTATATCCCTCGCCGATGTGGGCAATGCAAATAAGGCTAAATATATTTATGCTTTAAGCCTAAAGCCTGTGGACAAAGCACGTTTGCTTGATCTGGTGCAGAAGACAACAAATGAAATCGAATGCCCGTTTATTGGCTTGAAGATGGATGGCGTTATTAATCAGAATGAAACGGTGAGAGTTTAGCGATATATATGTACATATATATACATAATATTATCTTTTTTTATAGTCGGAGAGTAGACAATACTTTTATGATATGGACTCGAGTGGCAATCGGAAGCGGCGCAGCGAAACGGACAAGCGAGATAAGCGACCAAGGATAATGCATATAGACCAAGGTCTGAAATATCAGAAATCATTATGAATGGTATTTAATTTACTGATATATCTTCACAGATAACTGCTGGTTCTGTTTGTCCTCGGAGAAAGTGGAAAAGCACTTGATTATCGCTGTGGGTGAACGTTTCTATTTGGCTTTGGCCAAGGGACCTATAAATAGTCAACATGTTTTGATCTTGTCAACCCAACATATACCCTGTGCTGCTCAGCTCAGCTCGGAGGATTGGGAAGAGCTGCTTAAATTTAAGAACGCTTTGCGTAAACTCTTCAAAAGCCTGGGACAAGTTGCTTGCTTTACAGAGCGACATTATAAGACTTCACATTTGATTATAGACGTTATAGGCTTCGAGGAAGGCTATGCGTGGAAGATAAAACATAGCTTCGAGGTGATATTCAGACTACATTTATATTTCGTTGCAAGTTTATTGTATAGTTGTAAACTAACAGTTCATTTATTGAGTCATAAATATCCGATTTATAATATCTCCCCGATTACAGGACAAAGCTGAGGAATTTAATCTAGAATTTGAAACATTGCCCGCCTTGACTTCACCTAAAATGCTACCTGAAGTGGGTCCCTATTTCCTGGCAGAGCTTCCCGATGATACCGCCCTAATTACACGACAAATGAAACATTTTCCGCTGCATTTTGCCAGGTGTGTTGCCTGGACTTGAGATGGGTTGATTATTTATAGATATTTATATACTATTATAATTATATTTATAGAGATGTTTTCTGTTCGGAGAACTTGTTAAATTGTGATGAGAAAGTGAATTGGAAGGATTGTCTGCTTGACAATGAGGAGGAGAAAGCAAATGTTGTTGAATTTCGTAAACGTTTTGCGCCCTTCGATTTTACAGATGATTGATTGATTGTTTGATGATTGATGATTAAAAGCAGAACATAATTCGTGAGTTCAAAAAATTCTGTTTTACTTATTGCATATACCATTGCCATTGCAATTTAGCCTAAAATCTATATTGTTTATTATATATACTATTTGCATATAGTATAGTGCTTAAGAGTCTCTTTGATAGATTTTGTTGAGTATTTGCAAGAATGTTTGATGCGGCACTCCCCGAGATGTTTGCTGTATGTGAGTCTTTATCATATTGTAAGATTCCTCCTCGAATATGGCATATGTAGAGGGCAAGCTTAGCTCTTTATATAGAGCCTTAACACGCTCGACTTTGAGGGGGTCTGCAAGTATAAAATAGAAACATATAGTTGTATCTGGGTATAAATAGCTTTTATATTCCTACCATTTTGTCCGTAGCAGTCTATCATGATTTGCTTCTGCTCCGCATTGGCGCGCTGCATGGCCACCACAGCGAGCCAGGAGCATTTGTTGTCCTGTATGTCGGTGCCTACTTTGCCGGTGACTTCTGGATTGCCAAAGCAGTCAAGAAAATCATCTTGCACCTGGAAAAAGTGGCCCATTTCAAGTAGAATCGTCTTTGATTGTCTAAATGCTTCGGCGTCTTTGTAGCTGCAAAGATAATAGGGTTCTTATGTAAGTCAACAATTAGAGTTGTCAATTCATACCCAGCTAAATGCATGGCTAAAGCAAAGGGCAGATAAAAGGAATAATGTGCCGTCTTATTGTCCACAATTGCCTTGTAGGTCTCCATAGTAAACTCTGAGACACTTTTATTCGAGTTGAGCAAATCGAGAGATTGTCCACAAGTTGTGATGTAGGTGACCTCGTGAAACAGTTCCATTAAAGCCACATAGCAATCCAAATGGCTGAAATGTTGCTTGAGTATCGCATACAAGGCATTCTCTATCATAAGGGCATCGTTAATGGCTATAAGGCCAACTGATTCCACCCGATGCCAGCACTTTTGGCCTCTGCGCGTGGTACTATTATCCATCACATCATCCGATATAATGAAGAAACTTTGCAACTGCAATTTATGGACAATTTTTAAATATTCAAATTTAGTATTTTTTAGTATGCTCGACAAAATACTACTCACCATTTCGACACACCAGCCCAAATATTGAGCTAGTTTTATATTCTCGGGGGTTAGGTCTTCGGCAGGTACTAGATTTTTGTATGTGAGCACCGTTAAGATGCCACGATTCTTTTTGCCACGGGGCACATTATATTGCATGACCTGGGCGAACCATTTGACAGCATCATTGCAATTGAATCCCTTTGTATAGGTGGTTAGGTCACGGACAACATCTGAACGGTATAAATAAAATATCATTCATATACAAATATATAAATGCAAATTTTTAGCATTCTCATGCTAATTGATGTTCACCTGGAAATACGGCCATAAAGTCACGACTTTCATCTTTTGAAACTGTGACGCGCGCTGCTATTGGCACTGAATGATTTTGAAGCGTTGATAAAGTTCTGTGGAAGAAACGAAATCAAAACCGAAATATAAATAACGTAAATATAATAATAACAGAAAAATACTGTTACAAATGAGGGATGTTGACGGAAAATACTGCTGCAACAGCTGTCTGCGGCCTACGTGACCGGCCACTTTCACTCCAACTACACCACGCCCCTAGCGGCCGGAGCAGCATCACAATGTAAACAATTTCGGTTTCATCTTCCATTTTCTCTTACCTCGTTGTCTTCTTCAGCTTCTGCTCGATGACCAATTCAGAGGGCAGGCCGCCTATTGTATCCACAGATTTAACTTCGTCGCTGGTTGATATAAATCTACGCATTAATGCAGGGCGCTGCAGTAAACGCTGCTGCGGCAATAGCCTTTGTGCTAACTTAAACATGTTTGGAGCTATTTTCTAGAAGTTTAGCTATGCGTTTTTCAACGCAATACAAGATCAATTTAGTCTTTTGTTGGTAATACTATTCTTCATACACAGAGCTTCTTCAGTCTTTTGATAATTTCGGCAGCACTACAGTTCCAAAATTTTGTTTAAAATAGATTTCGTCGTAAAAAGAAAACAGTAAGTTTTTGCGCACTTGACATGAATGTTTGCTAGTCGAAAGTCGAGAGAATTTTGACCCACCAACTAGTGTGGTCGCCACCCGCGAGTCTAAATATTCATATGGCCAGCAGAAATACTAAAACTATCGTTAAAAAGTCCACATATATCGATTGTTGGAAGCTTCGATAGATGAGTTGTCTCAACGTTGTTGCACATCGCTAATCGCCGAAAAGACTGGAGCGCAGGCAAATAACAAGAAAATAAAAATCATAATTTGTTTTATAACTATATCATGATGGATGAGCAACTTATTGATGAAGTAGCTCAACACGGCGTCATCTATAATCGGCAAAAGTATTATTTAAATGGTAGCGCCAGCGGCGGCAAATACGAGACCAAGGACGAGGCTTGGCAGCTCATTGCGTTGAAGCTGCGGACGGACGGTAAGCCTAATAACTTACTCAACTTTGCGCTAATTAGCTGAGTAAACTTAATAAACACATACACTTTGATTGGCAGTGGAAACGTGTAAGAAGCGATGGAAATATCTACGTGAACGCTATGTATCACAACGCAAGCAAGGCGATCCACCTGTTTATGAGCATTTATCCCGTCCATACTTGGAAAAAATGAAATTCCTGGATCAGCACATACAGCCGCGTAAATCCTACCGAAACGTGCCCAACTTCTTGACCTCACCACAATCGGCGAATAGCTCCAATTATAGTGAATATAATGTGGATTCCAAGTCGAACAGCTCACACAAGAATATGTCGCATTTCGGTGGCCAGAATCATCATTATCATCATCAGCAACAACAGCAGTCGGGAACGGTGGATCAGCAGCATCCAATGAATGCACTCAGCACAGCTGCCGCCTCAGCTCTAGAGAATGTCAATGGACAAGTAAAAATAGAGGCGGAAATATTTAGAGATTTTGCGGCTGCCGTAGCCTCGCAGCAACTGCAGCATATATCACAATCACAAATGCAACAGCAACAGGCGGCAGCTGTGGCCGCAGTTATGGCTGACTCGTCGCAGGGCTATCAGGAGCCGATAATGAATGGCACTGGCAGCACAGGTGGCCTTACCTCAACGTCTTCCTCAATGAAATCACCGCTGTCGTCCCCTCTGCCTGGTATGGGTGTAACTCCGACCACACAGCAAGAGGAGCAGGCGACTGCAATAGCGTCTCAACAGTCAGCTGTACATTCCTCATCCAATGTTCAGGCTAACTACAGTCATAAGAGCAGCGATGAAATGCATTCCTCGTCAAATTATCACAATAAGAAGCCCCGCGTGCAACTGAACTCCAATGGTGTCAGCAATCATGCACAGCATGCCAGCAATGGTATGTCTAATCCAAATGGACATTTCGGCCAAGACACCGATGATGACTCGGATGACAATAGCACTGATCTAATGGAACCACAGACAATGTTGCACCATGAAAATCACTACAACAATTCAATCAATATGCAACGCAACAGCTCAAATGGCAATGTCAATGGTAATAATAATAATCAACAGCAGCAGCAACAGCAGCAACAACAACATCAGCAACAGCAGCAGCAACAACAACAACAGCAACATCCGAATATGTTTCCATCAAATACGGATTTCCTCTTCCAGCTTTATCAGCAACTACCACAGCAACAGGCTGCAGGTAGCTCACATGCTTCCAACTATGGCAAGTTCCAAACGCCATCAAATCCACATGGCATGCAACGTTCCTCGGAACATTTACTGGGCGAACTGGTCACCACGGAGCTGTTGAAAATGAATAAGGATCGTCGGAAAAATGTACAAAAAAGAATATTGGAAATACTCTTCTTTGATGATTAGGCAGCAGGGCAGCAAAGTCCTACAGTATTAGGAGTTTCTGTTGTACATAGTGTATATATAGGGTATATGCGACAACTCTTATTGATTAATTTATGATCTGAAGGTTGCACTTTTTGCATCTTTTATGATTCAGAAGTAAAATTCAACATATTAAGTTTGAAATTTAGTAAAGAGGGTAAGGCAGTTGGAAAAGTATAGTCCAACACTTATTTAGTATGTTCTGTCGATCTGTTGAATTTTAAATCTAGATATATGTATATCTATATATTATATACATATTCTTTATTATTTAAGATTAAAGTTTTTCCTAAGTTGTCCGGTTTCCCATAACTTTGTTCGTTAACCCACCAAGGCATTTGAAAAGATGTTTCATTTGCACTAGTCATGAACTAAGTACATTGAACAATTTTCCAGTTAGTTCTTAAGTTATTATTAAGCGGGTTTAATGTATATGTATACCTAGTATACTTAATTAAGCTAAGAAAAACTCATTTGTAATTTATTCAATTTATGTTTAATAAAATGTATATGTAACTATATATATATCTAAATATATATATGAGTGTATGAACGTAGTTTTAGTTGAATATAGTTAATGTTGTTTAGCCATATTAAGAGCGGTTAGATGTAGTCTATATATATATGCGTATCTATGTTATTGTCTGGAAACCCGCCGTATCCTTCAGTTCGAGTGGCTTCCACCATAAATCTACGCTGTGATGAGTTTTCGGATTGGGCGTATCACAACCCGTCGTACAATTCGACTTATAATTATCAGCTGGGTCTGGCGATTGGACAAAAATATTATACATTACATATGCATATATAATGGAGGATATATCATTATCAGATGCTTACCATATTTATGATCGTGGTCCTCGTCACAGTTTCTGGGACAGAAGACGACCTTCACATCGATGGGCTCGTATACCTTCAATATTAGCTCGGGCACCTTTTCCGTCGTATAGTAGCCGGCCGTTGTATACTCTAATAATGATGAACGATTCGTGTGAGTCACTGGGTTGCTATTGCTAGCGCTGGCCGCTTGTAGCGGCATTAGGTGTATGCTTTGATTCTTTGATTGCAGCAGCCACGGCTTTTGGTTAACCGTTAGAATCTCTTGGTGTGTGGTTGGTACTGCCACTTTTGTCTGTTGAGTGGTGCGAGTGGTTGGTCTGGTGGTTGCTGTTTCTAAGTTTCTTACTTGACTTAGACTTTGCAGTGTCTGTAGTTTTTCTTGACGTGTATTTCTGAACTTCTCTGTAGGTGTCGCTTGTGTGGTGCTCGTGGCTGTGGTGGTGGTTGTAGTTGCTGCTGTTTTAGGGTTTACTGTGTTTTTGTTTAGTTGCAATTGCTGTATTGAGTTTTTCATAAAAGTGAACATCTCTTGCCGTGTGGGTCCTGATGTTGGCTGTGTATTGCGAGTGGTGCTGCTGGATGTTGTTGTGGTTGTCGTTTTGGGCTTTACTGTGGTGCTGCTCGATTTCGATTGCTGTGTGGGGTTTTCCTTCAGTGTGGGCATCTCGTGGCGCGTGGCTACTGCAGCTCGCGGGAGGGTGTTGCGAGTGGTGCCGGTGGTTGTAGTTGTAGGGCTTACGCTGTGGCTTGTTATGAATTGCTGTGCAGGATTTTCTTTCAGTGTGAGCGTCTCTTGGTGTGTGATTGGTGCTGCTGCTGCTGCTTCTGTCTGTGTGTTGCTAGTGGGGCTGGCGGTTGTTGTGTTGGGTTTTACTGTGGTGCTGTTTGATTTCAAAAGCTGTGTACGACTCGATTTTATCTCCTGGCCCCTATTTGATAGTGTGGTGCGAGCATTGCTTGCAGCCACTGTTGTTGTTGCTGTTGCTTTGGCTTTTACTATGCTGTTGCTATCTAGAAAATTGTCAATCTTTGATTTATGCTTTGATATTTCATTAAATTGCTTCGCTGATTGCTTGAGAAATGCGGGTACAGGCAGCGGCACACTTTGTGGCTTAAGTGCAGAAGTCTCGGACATTTGTTGCTGGTTGGCCTCGCTCGTTAACCCATTCACCTGATGGAGAGACGGGAGTAGTGAGTGTCGCTTGGCCGTGGCGGCTCTAAGCGCTGTCTGCTTAATGGTGGCTTCTGTAGTTGCGCCTGTAGCTCTGTGTGTTTCCTCTGCATCGTTTACATACTCATAATCCTCATCGTCGTAGTATTCTGAGCTGCTACCGATTGCGTTTAGGCTCTTGGTTGTTGTGGTACGCGCTGTGGTGCCAGCAGTTGTGCTACTGCTGCTGCTGCTGCTGSTACTGCTGAGTGGTGCTAAAGTGGTGCTCGTTCTGCTCAGCTTCTGTCTTAGCAGACTCATCAATAGGCTCTTTGGCACGCTTAAGTCATTTCGACTGCTTGCAATTTCATTTGCAAACACGTTGGAACTCTTGGTGGTGGTGGAGCTTAGTGGTGCAGGCGCTACGGTGTTGGCTGCTTGGATTATTTTCTGCTTTAGCAGTTGGATCAGCGTCTGCTTTTGAGCATTCAAGTCGGGTTTTGCAGTGGTCTGTTGAGTCTCTTCCAGGGGCTCATCATTGGCATAGTCCGAGTCCACATAGTTTTCGGAGTAGTCTTTAGCATCGGACTTGGGTACAGTTGCATTAGCTACAGCTGGCACGGGCACACTGGAGCTAGTTTCTAGCGGATCAATTGCAGCAACAGCTTGTATGGCCATTGGCTTTGTGGTGCTTTCAACTGATCTTATAGTCGCAGTGGTGCCCTTTGTGATGCCAGCTGTACTGTTCATTGATAACTTTATATCTGCCAGATCATGCTTATCAACCACATTCTCCAGCTCATTCGTATCGTATTCGCTATCATAGTACTCTGAATCGTCAGCTTCAGCTTCTTTGGTGGCATTTTGTGGTATTGGTAACTCGCGCGTCAGCTGCTTGATCGACTGCCTCAAAGACACGGCCATAAAGGGCTTTGATGTGGCCAAATTGTGCCTCGCCATTTGGGCAAAGGTTACCTTCGATACGGGTGCAGCTGTTGTCGATATTACTTGGAAGAGCTTTTTCAGTATATGTGCTGCAGCTATGCTGGACATGGTCGAGGGCTTCGCTAGTGGCTTTTCCGTTGTCCACTTCACTGTGGTGCTCTCCACTTCCGGTGCGGGCTCATCGTTCACATAATCTAAGCTACCCTCGTTGGAAACTAAGCTCTTGGATAACAGCGAGGATGGCGAATCTCTTTCCCCAAATAGATTTTTGCTCGATTTGTTTATAACAAATTGTGTTTCGGTTTCTGTGTGTTTGATGTTGTTGAGGTGTTGTTGTTGCTGTTGTTGTTGTTGCTGTATGCATTGTGTGTCTGTAAAGTAGTTGATTGAGTGTGGTTGAGTGTGTAAATTTTGTAAAAGCTGCCCACTAGGAGTTGCGTGTATAATGAGGCATTGGGATAATATAATTTCGTTTAGGACTTACCTTCAGGTTGACATGGGGGCAGTTTGGTGGCTGTGGTTAGTTCAGATGTTGCAGTGGTGTTTGTTGTTGTTGGCGGCTGAGTCGTTGGTTGTTTGGTTGTTGTCGCTATCGAGGTTGTTGGTTGCGGTGTCGTTGGTGTTTTGGTTGTTGTTGGTTGAGGCGTTGTGGTTGGCTTGGGGGTTGTCGATGACTTAGATGTTGTCGTTGGCTTAGGAGTTGTTGTTGCCTGGGAAGTTGTTGTTGCCTGAGAAGTTGTCGTTGGCTTTGGACTTGTTCGCTGAGGAGTTGTCGTTGGATCGGCAGTTGGGGATGGTTTAGGAGAGGTTGAGGGAGTTGTTGGCTGAGGTGTTGTGGTGGATTGAGGAGTGGTTGCGGGCTTGGAAGTTGTTGTAGACTGAGGGGTGGTTGTTGGCTGAGGAGTTGTTGTTGGTTGAGGAGTTGTTGTTGGTTGAGTTGTTGTTGTTGGTTGAATTGTTGTTGTTGGTTGAGTTGTTGTCGTTGGTTGACGAGTTGTTGATGGTTGAGTTGTTCTTGTTGGTTGAGTAGTTGTTGGGGCCTCGGGTGTTGTAGTTGGATTCGAAGTAGTTTTTTGACTCGAACTTGTTGTTAGAATGCTAGTTGTTATTGGTTTAGGAGTTGTTGCCTCCGATGTTGTAGTTGTTGTTGGTGTAGTAGTAGTAGTTGTTGGCCTGGGAGTTGTTGTTGCCTCAGTAGTTGTTGTTGGCTTAGGAGTTGTGGTTGTAGGTTTGTTAGTTGTTGGCTTGGGAGTTGTTGGTGTAGTTGGGGCCTGACTAGTTGTGGTTGGCTTAGGACTTGTCGTTAATTTGGAAGTCGTAACCTCATTGGTGGTTTCTCGCTTGAAAGTGGTTGATTTTACAGTTGTTGTTGGCTCAGGGCTATTTGTTGTCGTCTCAGGAGTTGTTGTGGGCCTAGGCGTTATTGTTGTAGGCGTCGTTGGTTGAGTTGTTGTTGGTTGAGGAGTTGTTGTTGTTGAAGTCGTTGATTGAGTTGTTGTGGTTGGTTGAGGAGTGGTTGATGTTGTTGCCTGAGTGGTTGTTGTTGGCTGAGGAGTTGTTGTTGGTTGGGGAGTTGTTGTTGGTTGAGGAGTTGTTGTTTGTTGAGTTGTTGTTGTTGGTTGAGGAGTTGTTGTTGGCTGAGGCGTTGTTGTTGGCTGAGGCGTTGTCGTTGTTGGCTGAGGAGTTGTTGTTTGTGTACGAGCTGTTGTTGGTTTCGCTGTTGTTTGCTTTACAGTTGTTGTTGGCTTAGGAGTGGTTATTGTGGTCGTTGTCGGCCTTGTTGTTGTCGTTGGCTGTGGAGTTGTTGTGCTTGGTTTTGTAGTTGTTGTGGAGGTCTTTGTTGTCGTTGTAGGTGTGGTAGCTGGTGGTGGCCTGACAGTTGGCCTCGTTGGTTTTGGCTTAGTAGGTGTTGGCTTGGTAGTTGTAGATGGTGCATCGGATGTACTGAGCACCACTGTGGTAATGATTGGCTCTTCAGTTGTCGTTTGGATTGTGCTTTTGGGTGCTGGGGGCAGTATAACAATTTTTTTCTGGCTTAAACTTCTGAAGGCAACACCTGACGGTTGAACCTGAAAAGTATTAAACTCTAAATTACTTGTCGGAGCGTCCGTGCTTTTGACAGTTGTAGTTGAAGTTGTGGTTGGAGCTGGGGTGGAGTCGGTCTTTTGGTAGGAAGGATATGTAGGGTAGGGGTGTTTCGGAGGGTATTTATCACAATCTGGTGCTGGCTTGTCCGTTGTTGGGATAATAACAATTTTTACTGAAGCTTCTGGGTCTGGATTCTCTTCAAGCAGCGCTGCTGGCTCTATTAGCGGACTTCCGTAGTTGTAGTTAGGATATGTGGGATTCGAGGGATAGTAAGGGTATGCAGGATACGACGGATACGACGGATATGACGGATATGACGGATACGAAGGATACGACGGATATGATGGATAGTCTGGATATTTGTTGGTGGACGCTGTAGGCGTGGCAACCGTTGTTGTTGTCGTTGTTGGTTTGGGTGTAGGCTTCGTAGGCAATATAACTAGTTTAACACTTTGCTTAGGATTGTCAATACTTGATGCCTTAGAGCTCTCGGATGTCGAGCTAGTCTCTGGCTGCTCTGGTTGTTTCTCCTGTGCCTCTGCGTCAAAGTCTGCTTCGGAGATATATGGCTGATAAGGCGAAATGGGTGCATAGGATAGATAGCCTTGGCAATCGACTTCATGATGGGGTCGGCAAAGTTTTCGCTTCGGGTCGTAGCTGTTGTTGCCAGGGCATCTATGAAAGATACGGTGTTCCATAAAATGACATATGGATTGGGATTAGAACTGCGTAGGAAACTCACTTGAAGCGTGTTTGCAAATAGTTTCCACTGGGCTGCAATTTGCAGGTGTAGTACAAGGCGCAATCCTTCGGTGACCTGAACGTGCCCTCTGTCGTGCATTCGGGAAACTTGAGCTCGCAGTTTTCCGGTATATAGCTGCCGCTGTTCGATATCTCTGTCGACGGACACTCATCGCCGGGTATGCACTTGCCTTCCAGTTGCGAGAATATGGTGCCTGTGGGACAGCCGTAGAGCTGTGGCGTCAAATTCCTATCGCATTTGTAATAGATTCTGCAATCGTATTGGTAGGCGAAGCGGCCCTCCTTTTTGCAAATCGGTGGATAATCGGGATTCACGCGTTCCACGCAGCGGCCAGTGCTCGAGCTGAATTTCTGAATGGATCAAGATGATTATGGAGGGTGGGAAGTTGTATCATAGCATAAGTCAAATAGAGTCGGAGGGAGATTAGCCTACCTTCAGCTCGGGGCACTTGCTGAAGATGACACAGTTGGGTTGGCACACATAGTAGTATTGCTGCTGGTCGGGATGGGGCTTAATGCCCACGTAATTCCTTGAGCAACGATTGTTCTTTCGAAAAGAAAGGAAACACAAATGTAACTTGTCGTATATGGATATTCACAGATCAGCTAAACCTACATAGTCCACAGCTATAGGATTTCCGCCACCCGGCAGGAATCTGTGCACGCCGTAAATGCTGTCGTAGTAACTGCCCGGCGGGTTGTAGAGCATCGGACTGGGCCGAACTCCGGCATAGGCTCTAGCAGCCGCATAGGTATAGGGCGAGTAATAGTACGGATTATGTGGAGGAGGATGGGGAATGCCATATCCACGCGGCACTTGCAGCGAGCGGGCATTGATGGCCACCACAAGGGCCAGCAGCCAGATGCAGGTCGTCATAGTGTTAGCCACTCGATAACTCAGTTTACAGATATCGTTCATATATAATATTTGTTTCAGTTTTTGGGTTTCGTCTTCACTTTGTTTGTTTTTTGATTGCACATTAGTTGAAACCGGATTTGGCGCTTTGATTATCCTTTGCTGCGGGCGCGCTCGCGCTTCGTTTGTTACTTGTGGCTTAGAGTCGTGGTGCACGGCTTTTAAATGCACTTTGTTCGCTTTAAGAATGTTGCATAATTGAAATGCCAAATGTGCTGATGCGTGATTTATGCTGAAGAAACTAAACGCAGTCGCTGCTCGCTTCTTGCTGCTCGCTGCTCGCTGCTGCAAGAAAATAAGCCAACAACATTTTCTCACTTCGTCTAAGCGCGCTGCATCGATTCATGAGTGCACGCCACGTGCGCCGAGAACCGGAAGAGAAGCTGCCAAAGCATCACAGCATTGCTGCGGACCCAAAGAATACCTGACTCAAGCTCATCTTGATGCTTGGCTCCGGAGCGAGATGGCGAGCATTTGGCTTCCGTTGCGACTACAATTTTTTGTTGTTGTTCTTCTTGCTTTCTTGATTTTTATGTACCACAGCTTGCATATGGTGTGAGTAATTGTACCCTATAATAGTGGCGATAATGAGTATATTAGTTTTGTTGAGGGACTCGTCCATCTTTGTATCTATACATCCATTTGGCTTTGGCTTCCTTCGGCAACTCATCGATGGATTTCCTTTTATTCATTTATTAATAAATCCGTCGTTAATTCAGCTAATTCAGCTAGACGGTCTATTTATAACTCTGTCTTACTCATCTCTTTACCTAAGAAGTAGCCAGATATGGATATGGATATACACATCCTTGCCGATTTGTCCTTCTACCTATTTCTCGGTTCCTCATTGATATGAGCTCTTGACATCTTCAGCATCATAATCCAGGGTATTGCATAGTCTGCCACCGCCACTCTGTCGCACTTAGCTTAGCTCGTGGACGTGATCGATGCTGTTGCAGTTGTTGATGCCGGAACAAGAATCGCACAATGATTAAGCGAAATGCTTCCATGCGGTATGATAAAAAAACCAACTGGGCCTGATATAGTTTGCATGCCTTTGGCATAGCAACAATTGTCTATCAATCCATAGCTGCTCGTATTATTGAATATTTTAAATAGTTATAAGTTAGTATAGATCAAAGATATTGTTCAGCATGGAAGCTGAGAACCATTCATGTAACCCGCTCGTAATTGTCATTGACAATCGTGAAGCGTTTCTTCTGTAATTGTTTATTTTAGTTTTTAATATTTACACGTAGGCGAGAATTACGCATAGAAATATTTTCGTGCTGGTGCGTCTTTTAACACGTTCACAGTTCTTAGCCGAAGCGGCACGAATTTTTGGCTAGACGCAGAAAAACCCCGTACCGATAAAGCCCGGTATTCACATGTATAAACAAATATATATTTTGATGTATGTATTTTTGGAGTAGTTATGCTATAATATAAATATGCACTTATACAAAAAAAGGGCTCTTACATAAGCCCTTAGTTAAAAATAACTGTAAACGGTCACGTTTTGTAAGAAAAAACTCATCATTGCTCGAGAATTACAATTTTTTTAATAGTTATTCTAAACAAATATAATTTTTTGAATGGGTGCTTTGAGCTTCTGCTAAAAAATATAAATTGAAAATTGAATAAGTTTACAGAAAATAGGGTAATATTTTTGAATGGTCGTAAGCCCCTCGCTTATCTATTATTCCCTTTCTTTAATGAATATTTCAAATGTGCTCAGATTATTATAAGTTTACCATATTCACATAAACCAGTCATCTAATTGGCTTTGAAGTAAGACTGGAAACCGGGGAATCTCTAAGATACCTGAAAATTCAGCAGATTAGAGAAACATCGTGCTGATATTTATAAATCATTATCGCATAATAAATAATATGATTCATGTTTATGCTCTATCTCATAGTAAAAGAAAAATCTAATGAACTCAAAGTTAATTTTTTTGGTATGGATAAGTTTTTGAGTTTTATTGCATTTAATATAGTATATAATTTAAATATCTTAGTTATGTAGAAATAATTGTGTGTTTGAGATTTTGCTTTTGGTATTTGCTGTTGTTATTAAGATTAATATAGATCGATATTCGATTTGAATTGCCTTAGATCTACTTGGATTATCAATATATTTGATATTGAGCCTCGAAACGCAAGTCGAGGTAACCGAATGCACGTGCAGTAGCCTAATGCAGTGGGCTGTAGATGTGTATTGGATATATCCGTAATAAAAAACTGAATTGTTCAGTTCAATATGTATATATATTATTAGGCAGATGGTTTCGCTTGGTATTTACAGCTAATCACAAGAAGACGAGCAAAATTTCCTTGTGCATTACATTTTAGACCTCTTGATTATCTTCCGACTCGGCGACCATGGTCAGACTTCGCAGCGATCTGTATTGAAACGAAAACAAAAAATATATTAAACAGAAATCAGAAATATATACATGCATGTATATAGTGAGTAATCTAATTATGTGTAAGAGACACGAGCATTTCGTGTTAGATTCAGCGTCTTGTACGAAATGTTGACTGATAAGCCTTATCATTATCGGAGAGCACATGCCCAGAGCACAGCTACAACAGATGCGAAAGCTTCACTTTAGTCTTTGGCTGTCTCTCGAGATTTGTGCATTTAAAGATTGAAAAAGAAAAATGAAGTACTTGTGTCTATTTATATGGTTAATCTGGTTAGTTCAGGCGAATGCATGTAAGTTGGCAGATAGCAAAAAAATATAGAAAAGAAAAACGTAAAACGTAAAACGGTTTAGCTGATTAATTGTGCTTAACGTTTTCTTCAGCTGTGGGCGATTTGCCCACATTTACGGACGTCTGTGCCCTGCAGGGCGATTGGTGCACTACCAGATGCCAAATAGCTGGCGGACGTGATGGCATTTGCAACAAGATGCAGCTATGCATCTGTAGGCCGCTCTAGTGCGCATTTGATTAGAAACAAATATCACACAAAAAGAGGAAATTCCAAAAAGTTTTTATATATTTACAATTGCGTACGGTTCTAATGGCAAGCGGCTTGCTAGAGCTGAGACGAAATAAAATTCACACAATCAGATCGAAAGTGGGCGAGCATTCAAATTGAGTTTACCTGGAGCGCTCGAAGAGCGAGGGATCGGTGTAGATGGGCTCACTGGGATCCTCGAACTGATGGTTGGAGTTGCCGGCAGTGCGTATGGGATTTATCACTGGCAGCTGGCACATGCGCGCCAAATTGCTGTAAGCAGAAAGCAGAGATTTCGTCAGCTTAAGCGATAAGTGGACTGGTCTAGACTGGATGTGCTCACCCCGTGGCAAATGTCTTATGTAATGAGCCGCCAAACATGGACATGTTGGTGCGAAAAGCGTTTGAGGCGCGATTCGATGTGCTGCGATTGCTGCCAGCTCCAGTTACAGATCCAGTTCCAGTTGCTCCACTTCCATTTGGCATGTGGCCAATTTCGGTGAAGCGCTCGTGGGTGCGTATCGAGGAGTGGGAATGACCCAGCGAGTGTATGGGTGAGTGGCGATCCACCAGACGATTCTTTGATATGGATTTCCAATAGCGTCTGCAACGAAAGATGTAGATAGCCAACAGACAGCAAATTGGGTTACCAATGAGCTTCCTCACCTGTAGCCCAATCCTGCAACTAGCGTAATGCTAAACAGTAGAATCATTAGCAATATTATGGCTGTGATCAGACCATGATACTCCGCGGGCGTCATGCAAACAGTTTCGACGGGGGCCACGAGTTTGCGTGGATAGGATTCCTTCTCAATTTCCTCGCGAGTCTCAAAAACCTAAACAAAAAATAATTCTCTTCAGCATTATGTCCATCCCCAATCAATTATATGAGACCTACTTCAATCATTTCTCGCACTTGTTCTGGTTCTTCATTCTCCTTGGACTTGTCACTCTCCTGAGTGGCATTCAACTGTGCACCACCCATTGTAGCACTCACTGTGGTGCTATTTACCACCGTGATCTCCTGCTCCTCCTCATCATTGATAGCTTCCAGTGCCTGTGGCTCGGGTATTTCCTCGGTTAGGTTCAAGCTGCGTCGCCTGCGCCCGAAGGAGGGCTCTTGGCGACCCGCCGGGCCGGGACAGTAGGCGGGCTGACAGCCGTCGCGACAGGACCTAACTGTCGCCTCAAACACTAGGAAATTCGATTCGGGTATTTTGAAGGCATTGAAGCGTGCCTCCAGTGTGTCGCCATCGCGCAGTTTGTCCAGCTCGGGGAAGACATAAGGATCCACAGGGCAGCTGGACAAAAATACAAGTCAAGGGAAATTCCTATAAAGTTTCTATAAATATTTTACCCAAAGCGATCTATTAGCTGTATGCTGCGCCCAGAGTATGGATCCCTAGCCACCACATTTGTAGCAAATATGTCGGTAACATGATTGTAGCCATCCTGTGCCTCCAGTCGGAATGTGAGAGGATCACCTACGGCGATGGTTGTTGTGGGCCTGCCCTGATAGAGAATGCTCAGACGCACCTTCGAGCTCAGCGTGTTCTCGGCTGGCAGATATTCGATGGGTATGGGACTGCCCGAGCTGTGATGGCAAGAGAGAGTTAAGTATTAATCATCAACAGAGCTAATGATCATAATCATCATGGCTAATGTTTACCCGGCGCCGATATAGCCAGAGCTGACGACCGCTTCGCCGGGGCCTCGAAAGATGCAAGTGAGATTGTAGCGCTTATCGCGACTTGTTTGTACATTGTCCGAGAACTGCACGACTACAATATTAGTCAGCGTGTCGCCGTACTGCAAGATAAAATCAAGCGCGAGATCAGCGAACGTGATTAATGCATAGAGTTGTAAATTTACTTACACGCTGTGTGCCACAGTCTGGGTAGCCCTGGGGTCCGCTAATCCGCAGTACATTGACAGTGCCGCCGTTGCCACGGAAGAAGCAGCGATCGTAAAATCCATATGTGTAAATTCTACCCAAAAACCCCTCAGGCGTGCGTATGGTGAACTCCATGCCCTCCTCGTTGCACGTCTGCGTAACTGCAATGGGCAATTAGTCTTAGTCAATTGAAGAAGCACAGATCTTCAGCATTGTTACCATCCATGCATTCGCCGTCGCTGCGTCCAATGCTGCGCTCGTAGAAATCATAGTTGGAGGCATCGAACGAGCCCGGATCGTGTATATCCAGCTCACGTGAATCGCGATCGCTTAGCTCGCAGTTGGGCGACTCGCGATCACGTTCACGATCCCGATCATCATAGCTGGAGGCGGTGTCTCTGCAAATTGAATATGCGATTGCGATTGGGATTGCAGTTGTAGCTGCTTTTATCTGTGCCACATCTCTCTCTCTCTCTCTCTCTGTCTGTCTGTCTTCGTAAGCTTACCTGTAGTTGAAGCTGCGGCACACAAAGTCTCGACTCTCGATGCATTCCCGTTCGCACTGTATCAGACTCGGCACGATTAGAGCGCGTCGAACGAAATGACGCCGCATTTTGTGCCTGGCTGCGATCTGCTTGAAATTATCGCTCTCCTCGCAGCGCGTTATGGGCGGACGCGGTGGACCAGCGCCAACAGGTACGCCCACATGCGATCCCCCACCGTAAGGTGTGGGCGGATGTGCGAGGCCCAGACCGAGACCGGGCACCGGTATGGGTCGATCATCGAGGCCACCGCCAATGCCGCCGCCACCACCACCTCCGTAGGGGCGATTAAAGGGCGTGTCGTAGCGACCATAGGGACCACCCAAGGGCGGTCGACGCGCCGGTGGTCCATCATATTCGCGATCATAGGGTCCGGGTGCATACCGATCGCCATAGCGTTCCTCATAGTCGTAGTCATAGTAAGGCGGCGGACGATCTAAAGCTAAACACAAATACACATACATAGCATACAATATATATAATAATTATTTAAAAATCCTAAAATTATTCTGCTGATCTCATTGCATTGCCAATTTAAGAACGAGTTACTAAAAGTATGCAATTTTATAGAGTGCAAAGCTCTCGATAATTAAATTATTATAGTCTAAAACACTTGCTAGTTGAGAGAATATTGGTGCAGAACTGGGAGCTCAAATGTTGTAAAGGCTTTTATACACTGGAAACTCATTAATAGATCTACATAGAAATATTTCGGATAATATAAAATATAGAGTTCATAAACGTTTCTTCAGTAGGAAATTCTTTATTAACAACAAAACTATTAAAATGTAAAATATTGCAGTAACTCGCATCTGAAACTAACTAGAGATCAGTAGAATAAATTAGCAATCGATCATCCTGCTTTCATTATCTGTTCAGTAGATTTGTGGGTCATATTAGACGGGGTAGTTGATTAGTGTCTTCTACTTACCGGGGCGTCTGCCTACGTCGCTGGGTCCCAAGCGATTGCCGTACTTGTAGATGTCAATGGGATAGCGTTCGCTACCTACCGGAAAACGATTTGGGGTCGAGGCATACTTGCTGGCGCTGCCGGTGGGCGCTAGGGGAGCTGGCGGATATCTCTTAGCGGATTCGGGTTCTGGACGCCGAGCACTGTGCACTATATCATCATAGCGTCCGGGAGGCGCGCGCGAATCAGGCGCATAGGGATAGCGCGGTGGGGCCATAGATGAGGGGCGATAGCGTCTGTCCGGGAATATGCTATCGGGCGCATCACGACCCGTGTAGCCGCCTACTGGATCACGACTGGGTGGATAACGTGCCGGATAACGACTGTCATAGCGATGGTCTCCATATCGTCCCCCTCCGCCATAGCCAAACGGCCTATAGGGCGCATCATCATCGGGAGGAAAAGGTCTCGTATGTGGCAGATCGCTGGGCAGTGTATTATCATTGATGGCCGGATAGGGCAGCGGGCGATAGGGCAGCAGGTCGCGATCACGATCGCGATCCCGGTCCCTTTCCGGATAGCGTCTGTCTCCATAGCGATCGGGTGGATAASGTTCCGGATAGCGATCACGATCACGATCACGATCTCGGTCTTTTGAGTTAGTAAATTAGTTGTCAGTATAGGTCAGTGGCAAAGCGAAGCGTGCTGTTATTCATAGTTCATAGAGTTATGTAAATACGTACCATAATCATCTGGATAACGATCGTAGGGTCGACCCGGATAGCCCATGCCCATGCCATCGCTGCCCGGATAACGAGAGCCGCCATAACGATCGGGTGGATAACGATCGCGGTCACGGTCACGATCACGATCGCCATAAGGATAACGATCTGTTAATAAATTGAAAAGTGTTATTGCCATCAATTGTGATGATATGCGAGTAATCTACCGTATTCATTGCCTGCATAATCGGGATAGCGATCGTATGGCCGACCATAATCAATGCCCTCCCCATGCGGCAGTCTATTGCCGCCCCCATGAGAACCGGGGCCGCCCAGGCCAGCACCCGTTGACCCCGGTCCGTAGCGATCGTCATGCTTGTTAGGCTGTCTCCAGTTGCTGCCAGAGTGATCACCGGGTCGCTTGCCATCGTTGCTGCCACCGTGACCAACGTCGCCGTCGGCGCCACCGTTGCCATTGCCGCTGCTGCCACTGCCTCCGCCCACAACGTTCACTAAGAAGACAAAGATTGGTGCAACCACTCCATTAGCACTAGTGGACACAGCTAGCTAGCTACAGCACTTACACATCAGATTCTCATAGTAATCATAATCAGCATCGTATATAATGCGCATGCCATCCTTTTGATTGTACCGACTGAGGCGACAAGTACGAAAACGATCGCTATAAACTGCCGACCTGCAATTTGTTAAAAAGAGTTTTCGTGTGGGTTGGCACATAGGAAGACAGCGAATGAGCAAACAGAAAAAAAAAGAAAAAATACCAAATACCGAAGAAAACAAGAAATACAAGACAAAGAGAGCGACAACCACAACGCACCTGCACTGGAAGCTTGTCTGGCGGAGGCATTCGTCCAGGCACTCGCTAAGCGAACGTCCCGTGATCTCAGAGTGAAACTCGCCGCCCAGTCGCGAGTTGCGGTAACGTTGGAATGCTGTATCTGGCCGACGGCCGCTCGAGAAGAGGTGCGAGGTGACTGAGTTATCTGGATAATCGGTGGCTCGTTCTGCAACGGGAATACAACAGCATACGGTATACAGTATACAGCTAGAGCAACCGCAATAGCTAGAGCAAATGGCAAGTGGCATAAAACTTGGACACAGACATCAAAGTGAAGCAGAAGCACAAGTCTTTATGGGCAGCGCTTAATGGCGCACTTAACGTGCTGGCTGCTGTCTGGTCTAGGCTAGTCTCAGTCCCTGTCTGTCCTAGTTAGTCCACTCTGTCCAGTTCTGCCCTGTTTGCCATTGAGCCGAGGCGCTAACTGGTGTTTGGCCACTTACGATTATCGAGGCACACAAGATCATAAAAATGATGTGTGGGACTGGAGCTAATGCTAATGTCATCCTTCTGCGAAATGGAGTCCTCCTCAGACAGTATACACTGTTTGCTTTGATCATCAAACTCAACTGAACGGCAAAAGTATCTGAAAAAGTTTTTCTTTCGATTAGCCTAATGCATTTTTAAAGCATCAAGCGCAGTCTTTACTTCTCGGCACGCAAGCACATAGTCTGGCACTCCTCTAGCGTCATATTATTAAATATATCCACCTCAAAAGGACCGCCCAGGCGCTTATTCTCCTCCTTAACAAACACGGCCAGTCCATCGCAGCGTCGCTCAGCTATAAATGAGAGAATTTAATTCTAGATCACTTTACTAGCTAAATTGTATGCGCTTGCCATTTAAGCACGTATTCTCCAGATAGTCCGAGTTGGGATCATCCTCCATTAGCTCTGGATGTGTGCGCCGCGTGAAGCGACTGAGCGTACAGGAGCGCATCGTCGAATCAAAGTTAGCCGAGCGACACACAAATGAGAACTCATTCAGACACTTGTCTTCGCAGTCCGAACGATTTGCGGCTGTTATCTGAGGAAACAATATAATTATAGCATATTAGAGTGGAGAAATAAAGCCCCTCTCCTTCTGTGTTAGAGTGAAGACGCACCGCTGCTTATCTTCTTACTTTAATCGATATGGTTAAAACATTCTTTTTTTTGACTTTAGAAAGTCTAGGCGGCGAATCTTTATTCTCTATTAACTCTTAGTCGAAGTAGAGAATTCGTTCTTCTTCTACGACTCGACCTCTAACTGTTCTATTATTGACTCAGAAGATAATCAGTAGATAGAGTTTAAAGTCGAGGAATCCCCTTTTCTATTCTTTTGACTCAGAGAAACAGCTTGCTAAATTGCAGTATTCTATTTCACTGCTTCCCTGACTCCCCCAATTCAGATTAGAGTAACACCTTTGCTGACCCCTCACTCACCTCCTTGATGTCGCTGATGGGCAATTTCAATTTCTTGCGCGGATGTCGCTCGAATACATATCGTCGACTGGGACACTCACGCTCGGGGCGGCTGGCTGCAATTAGTTGGATGAAGAGAGCAATTTGAGCATGCCAATTGGAAACGGTGTCAACACCCACACAGACAAACACACTCACATGTCAGACAGATCTCGTTAAAGTGCACACTATTCGGCACCAGCATCAGGCTGCCAATGCCCTCCGGTCCAGCCTGCTCGGAGGTGAGGTAGCAGAGGGACTCCTCGTACTCGGAGGTGCCACCGAACGAGGTGATCCGACTGCCGGGCTGGAAGTCGAAGCTGGTACAAGTGCGCACTAGATTATTGGTGCCGGTGCGATCGCGCAGACATAGATCCTGACACTTCTCCAGCACGCGGAATGGTGGTGCAGTGTCTCGCACCACGTCGTCATCGTAGCCCTGCAGCTGTTGATTGGGCAGGCGCTCATAGAGCACACGACCCAGTCCATTCTTGCAGGTGGTTTGAGCTGGGAGTGAGGCAAGATGGCTTAGAGCAATACTGAACGAGGAATCTCTAGTACTTACCATAGCTCTGGCTCAAGGCAAGGCAAGCCAGCGTGGCTATTAATATTAAGCGCAATTCCATGTCGCTCTAGAACTGAATGTAGACTATCCAAAAGTTTATCGCGGCATTATTAGCAGCAAAGCACATTCAGTGGGCGATCGCGTGTTCTAGAATTGCTATATATGTATAATTCAATAATGAGTATTTATCATATGTGGTCGAATCAGTTCGTAGGCTGACCAATTTACAGCTCGACCTCAATAAGTCACTAAAAATTTCACCAGTGCCACCAAATCCATCCCCTCCCCCACAATTGGAATTAGAACTAAAAAACAAACATAGTCATATGAATAGTTAAATATTTCTAAGTACAGCACCATAATGTGCACAATGCGTAACGCCAAATTGGATCATTAAACGAATAGGCGAACAATGCTACGTGTAGCTTTGCTCATATCGATCCACAACTCCGGATGTTGCTTCCGGCTCTTTGTACCACTCAACTCTATTTATGCTTAACACAATACAAATCCAGTTTTTAGCTTTTAGTTCTGATTTTTACCATTTTTTTTTTTTTTTGCTGAAAAGGAAAACTCACTAAGCTGTCGCATTGACCTCAAAGGGGTTTTTAGAGTGATTCGGCTGTATCATGGACAAATTTATTTTTTCATGTTATGGAATTTTTGAAATGGATTTTCTTTGTTGCATGTGAAATGGAAAAGCGATGGTTTAGAATTTTTTGAGTAGTCTTCGACTTGTTCAGGGCCTACATAAATAAGGCCTTTAGTGTACACGTAACAGATACTATATTTAGTCGTAGAATTTTT